CGCTCCTTATACCTTCTAATTTATCTATCCGTATTAATAGCATTTACTTGTAGTGCTAGTGCACTACAGAATTTCTGAATGGAAAGCTGTACTAGGCCAGCGGTGGTTCGCCTGCTGATGTTGTATTACCAAGAGGACCTCTCTACAGAAGTTTTGTTTTGTTTTATCTCATTCTATGTAAATTAGAAACACAAATTTCTTAAGAAAGTTTAACGCTGAAAGAAAGGTTGAATGCGATCCAGCTGACCGTTAGTTGTAGTTGCACTTTCAACTCTATATGTTACACTCTCTGTATGAAGTTATTACATATATTTTCTGGGTTTTTTCCGTGTATTTCTGTCTGCATGCAGGTAAGATATTACTGCTTACTACTCGTACTAGTAAGTGTTCACCATACACCCATCGGGGGTTTCGGTGTGGCTCCATGCGAGGTTACCGTGCAGCAGGTGTTTCAGCAAGGAAAGCTGCAACTCAGTACAGGCTTTCTCCTCTCTACACCACCACTAGGCCTTTTGCAGCATTGTATGGATGTTTTCCTGAATATTAGAGGGGAGGAGAAGTGTGTTTCGGGTAGCTTTTACATGAAGCCTTTGATTTCTTGCAGCTTGTGGCGGTAATATATTCAGATAGAGGCCTCGTATTACAATAGAAAATAGTTGTAACGGTGTTCTTCTCTCTCAGCATATAAATTTCATGAGCTGTAACAAGTTTAATACATTTAGAATAATATTATCATAGAAGTTGTTGGCCTAGAATAAACTGTTCTGGTATCCTGAACATAGAAACACAGAAAAAGAGAAAACGCTTCTCTCGAGTTTCAGAGCTTTCTGCCTCGGCCTCCCCCGCACGACAACCGTATATGTAGGCATTTCAGGATAGTTTTTCGGTTTGCCAGTGAAAATAGTATTAAATATTTACTCAGTTCTCAGTTTCTACCATTCGCATGCACAAGAGCACATACACCCCCCCCTGAGATACTCCGTTTCATCTCTCCCCCTTTGCTCACAGAAACAGAGCACGCTTCAATAGCTTGAATAACCTAAGGAAGTAAAAAACATAAGAGGTAAATGGGGGAGCGAGAAACAGCATATTTCGGAAAGTGCCGTTGAGAAGGCGTTGATGTAGAGCTCAAATAGACCAAGGAACTAAAATAAAATAAGTTCCGCTTAAAGGAAAGAGAAAAACAACTAAGATTGCTGCAAAGCTAGTTGTACTGTGTCTAGCAGCAGTGACCACGCCTAAGAAAAGCAGAAGTTATTCCAAGAAAGCGAGAGAAAGGACAACAGAAAATAAGTGTTTTTGTAAACGATACGAATATGAATTTCAAAAGTTTATGTTTTAGAAGAGGAAGACGACCGACACAAGTTCATATTGAATGCTTACCAGAACCCCAGCCAGTGACGGTGTAGTGAGAGTCCTTGATCCTAGCCGAGAATGGTTGTGATCTGCAATACAGTTGAATACTATATAAAATATAATTTCTTTAGAATCATTTGAGCTGCTCTCTAGGCTTCACGCTTTCTAGAAACCAGCATGCTATGGATTGCAGAATACCTTGCCACAGCTCCTGCTGCTAGAGAAGCCGAGAGGTGCAAGCATACCCAGTCCCCCTTTCTATGCATGCACTGACACTGCGGGAAATTTTTAAATACTTTGCTCTGAGTAACCAACTTCTACATCACAAGTATATGTACACGTACCCGCGTCAGGGAGAGTATACTACTGTCAAGTGCAAGCCTGTGAACGACCGAGCATCGGTGAAGGTGCGACAGAGTTTACAGCCTAATGTCAGCTTTCAGAGTCAGAAATTAGCGTTTCTTGAGTAGATATTACAAAAGCACAGCTTTTATGGAAAGTGTCGTTAGCTCGTGTCGTGAGATGTTGGTCTAAGTTCACTGCTGTTAATGTAGTTTTTCCATGATCTATATATATACTCAGGCTAGATACTTTATGCATCAGCTAAGGAATAAAATATAGTAAATGTTCACTACTAAGTCCTGGATATGTTCCTGGCGCCAGAGCAAGATGGAGGGGAGATATATGAGGATCCATGNTTCACTACTAAGTCCTGGATATGTTCCTGGCGCCAGAGCAAGATGGAGGGGAGATATATGAGGATCCATGGCTTTTCTTAAACCGTGGGTTTATCCCTTAGATCTATGTATTGCTGGCTATTCTATGTTTACTCTATTTCTCTTGAGATAGAAAGTGTTTGATTGATTAGTCAGGATCAGCTATAGCATGCTCTGTGCAAGTGCATAGAAACGTTTCAATGCTTGCGGTCGCTGCGGGTAACAGAAAGCTGGAGGCCCCCCACCGAGCCATCCAAAAAGAAACACATACTTCATAAGGATCATATGAAGTGCTCATATTACTGGCGGTGTTGAGCTGCAGCCAGCTAAGCAGGTGACCAACAACACACGGCCGACAGTACTGCGAAGCTCGCCGTCGCCTATTAGAGTAGCCGCTTCCCGTGCAGGAAACAACAAGTCTAGTACGGGTGTAAAACAATTTTATATTTTAATGTTTCTAATTGGAGAAGAAAACACAAACTTGTTCAAGACGTTTAAAAAGGCAACACGATATGATATGGTGGAGCCGTTGTTCCCGCAGAGCCCTGCCAGGCAGCCAAGTGGTCGCCATAGCACAGCACGGGAAGCCGTTCATCCGTTCTGAAGTTTTTTTTTTCATGAAGCAGCTCATGTGACTATATTTAATTAGACATGTGTACATGAAAATTACAACTTTTCGTTTCAATACTACGGGGTGCTGACCGCTCCACACGCTGCCCCCCTGTGAGTGATGCCTGGAGTGCTGCGCTACGAATTGCCAAAAATATGCTGTTTCTTCCTGTGTCTTGGCTACTGGCTAGGCATCCTGAGTGTGTTTAAGTTTTTTTGAGTTTCATCTGACAAATAGCAACCGTATTCTAGCCAGGTTCTGCACAGGCGGGGTTGGATGCTCACCTGCCGTACCGGTTCTACTACTTGGGAGCCCGAGTATTGCGCCTGACTCTCTATTGCGAGGAAGCTGAAAAAGAGAAGCCTATATATTGCAG